ACCATAAACATACCACTGATCTCAAATTACTAACGCATTATCAGTGTTTGCTTGAAAAGGAAGATATTATGTATGACTTACTTCCAAGTCTGTTGATTGAACAACTTCACCATTTGTTCAGTGTAAAAGCTTCCATTATGTAAATGTTTATGTGTTAGAAACTATAGTAGGTGTTAGAGATGCAAAAGTAGGTAATAGTGACATGATACCTAACTTATTCATAGAGGATACAGATAGAGTAGAACTGAGTAGGATACAGATTAAGTAGAAAGTGACACAGGAAAATACAGCATGCTTTGGGCACCCCTATGAAGGTATTACTCAAAGTTATGGTAGGTCAGGATGACTTTCCAGAGGAAGTTTAATTAAAGTTTGATTCTAAAGGATTAGTAGGAGTTAACCGAGCAAAGGACGTAGGAAGGAATGCTGGGAGAATTGAAGCTGGAAAGGTAGTCACTGGGTAGATCACTCCACATCTTGTAAACTATGTCAGGTTGTTTAGACTTCTTCTCTAGGAGCAATGGATGGTCATTGGAGTACTTTTAGAATGGGAATAATGTGATGACATTTCGTGTTCAGCAAGATCCCTGTAGCTGCAGAGTAAAGAATGAGGCAGGCAAAATGGGGCTGGAAGTTGAGGGACCAATTAAGAGGTTTTATCAGCAATCCAAACAATTGTTTTGATCTCTAAATCCCATCCAGCTAGTAGGGGTCATATAGATCTGCTCTTATCCCACTTTAAAATTTCTTGTTCTATGTAGTTTGTTGAGTTACAGGATATAGAAGTCAAGAGCTTTTTATTCAGCACTAACAGGGAAGGAACTTGACATCAAATAGATTTTGCCCTTTAAGTCTCCCATGAAGGTCATTCCTGTCCGCATTCTACCTCAAATTTTGATTTGTTAGCATCTCATTTTATAAGAATAGAACCACAGAGACTTGATTTTGAAAACCTATATTACTGAGGTAAAGTTGAAATGCAACAAACTACAGATATTTAAAGTGTGCAATTTGGTAAGTTTTGACGTTTATATAATTGAGAAACCATCACTACAACCAAGATGATAAACATCCATTACCCTCAAGTGCCGCTTGGTAGTCCTTCCCTCCCGTCCAAAAGCAGCCACTGATCTGCTTTCTATCACTATAAATTAATTTGCATATTTTATAGTTTTATGCCAATACCATGCTTTGGTGATTACTGCAGTTTTAATAGTTCTTGAAATCAGGTAGTGTTAACCCGCCAACGTATTCTTTCTTTTCAAAGTTGTTTTGGCTGTTCTAGATAGTTTGTGTTTCCGTATGAAGTTTAGGATTAGTTTGTCAATTTCTTTTTTTAAAAGCCTGCTGGTGTTTTGATTGGTATTGCAATGAATCTGTGCATCAATTTGTGAAGAACTGAGATCTTTACATTATTGAGTCTTACAACCCATGAACGTGCTGTCTCCATTTATTTATGTAGGTCCTCTCTAATTTAGACAGTATTTAGTAGTTTTCAATACATAAGTATTTCACATTTTTGTGAGATTTATCACTGAGTATTTCACATTTTTATATGCCATTGTAAATAATACTGATTTTGGCTTTGATTTGCAGTTATTCATTACTAGTGCTATATAAAAATGCAGTTGATTTTGTATGTTGATCTTTTGTCCTGCAGCATTGCTAAAATTACTTACTAGTTTTAGTAGGTTTTTGGTAGATTCTATTGGATTTTCTACATACAGTCATGTCATCTGCAAATAAAGACAGTTACAGTTCTTCCTTTTCAAAATGGATAGATTTTGTTTATTAGTTTTCACTAATTCCACTGATTGGAACCTCCAGTACAGTGTGGACTAGAAATGATAAGAAAAGACATCTTGTCTTCCTGATTTTTAGAGGAAAAACATTCAATCTGTCACCAATTAAATATGATGTTAATTGTAGTTTTTTTTTTTGGAGAAGCCCCTTATAATGGCCTTCTTTACCTAGTTTGCTGAGTTTTTAATCAATAAAGGATATTGGATTTTGCGAAGTGCTTTTTGAGATAATAATATGGTTTTTCTTTTTTTAGATTGTTAAAATGGTGAATTATGTTGACTGACTTTTCAAATATTCAACCAACCCTTGTATTCCTGGGATAAACCCAGTTAGTCGTGGTATATTATCCTTTTTATATGTTGTTGGATTCATTTTGCTAAAATTTTGTTTAGAATTTGTCTTTATAAGAAATATTAGCCTGTGGTATCCTTTTCTTATATCATCTTTGTCTCATTTTAGAATCAGAGTAATGCTGACCTCATAGAATGAGTTCGAGTGCTTCCTATTTTCTGGAAGAGTGTGTAGAATTGGTATTATTTTTTTCTTAAATGTTTGGTAAAATTTACCAGTGTAGGCATCTGGGGCCTGGGAGTTCTTTGTGAGAAGATAAACTGTAAAGTCTGATATTGTTAGCAGTTTGTGTCTTTACTCTTTTTTTCTGTGATCACTCTAGCTAGAGATTTAGCAATTGTATTGATCTTGAAGAATCAGCTTTTGATTTCTATTATTTTTCAGTTTTCCATTTTATTGATTCCTGCTTACTTTCAATTTATTTGTTTTTTTAATAGACCTTTTTTAGAGCATTTTTAGGTTCACAGCAAAATTGAACAGAAGGTATAGATAGTTCCATATGCCTTTTTCCTCCTTAGTTTCTTAAGGTAGAAGTACAAAGGTGATTAGAGATTTTTCTACTTTTCCAATACAGGCATTTAGTACTATAAATTTCTCCGTAAGTACTGCCTTTGCTAAGGGCTGCAGAAGAAGAGCCTTTCTTTCCTGTCAGTCACACAGAGCCTTTCCAGTACTGTTATTTTTGTCTGCTAAAATAAGAATTGTAAACAGCAGTGTCTGCAGGGATAAAAGAGAAAGTTTAAACTCACAACAGTTCCTTTTTAATATGCATTTTGCATACTTGTACTAAGTAGGAAAGGAAAATACCACATACTTTGACTCAGGAAAATATATTTTTGGCAAAGCTATCTTACTGAGTGCTTACTGCAGTTATTTCTTCTCTTTGTTTCACTGGGAAGGCCTATCCAGTTAATCCTTTCCAGTTATTAATAATGGGAAGGAAGTAATAATGCAAGGAAAACTGGTTTTATCTGAATTATTTTAAGCAATATCTCTTTACCTCATAGCCTCACATTTCTGCAGTTGTGAATAAAGACTAAGGCATATACCAAGTTGCCCTTATTATTAAAACTGTTTCTGAATATAAAGTATATTAAATTATATCTTTATATTTAACCATTATACAGAACCCTTCATTAACCTAATCATGGATAACCTTTTAGAACCAACATCAGGAGCCCACAGCAATAATAGTTAACTTTATTAAACATATTAGCCTGTGTCAGGTACTGTTAGATACTTTGCATGGATTATCTCATTTGATGATACACTAAAACCCTGTGAGGTGTATTTTCATTCCCATTTTACAGATAAGAAAACAAACATCTAGAAAGTAACTAGCCTAAGGTCCTACATCTAAGTGGTGGAATGGGAGCCCTAGCACAGTCTCCAGTGATCTTAAGCCTATTATAAACCTCCTTCTATATCCATATACTTTATAGGAGCCCCTGTTTTACTGCAGGTATCACATTGACTTGAATAAATAACCTATTAGCAATTATGGCTGTGAGTCACTCAAGTACTTAGAGAAAGGTTGTTTTATCATCTAGTAATTTAAAGGAGGAAAATGATTATTGATGAAATTTTTGATCTTCCACAGAGACAGTGTATTTGAAATATACATCTGAGCTGGAACTTGGGAACACTGTTGTGACAGACAAGTGCTATCACCTCTTGGAACGCTTTTTTTTTTGTTTTAAGTACCAGCCCTTGAATAATAAGTAAGATGATAGAGTTGACTCTCATACTTAGCAGAGGATGTACAGCCCTGGAGTTAAACTTTTTCCTTAGGGGAAAGAAATACCTCTGTATACTTAGTAATTTCAAATTATTATGACTTCATTGTTTGAAAAATTGATCCATTATCTAATAGTGACCCTTAACATTAAAATGAAAAGACTAACTGGATTTGATTCAGTACTTGAGTATATGTCTTATGTACATAGATAACTTATAATAGTAGTTAAGATATTATAGCTAGTATTAATAGAAACATGATTAAGTGCTTTATGTTGATCGCCTAGTTTAATTCTCAAAACAGCTCCATGAGATGTAGTTATTGTTATTTCCATTATGTTTAGTCATTAGTGTATTCATGTGATTATTTGATTAATATATGCCTCCCACACTAGGTAGTAAGCTCCGTGCAATCAGAAGCCACGTCTGGTTTTGCTCATCGCTGTCACCTCTTCACAGAGCTGGCCATACACAATAGGGCATTAGTAAATGTGGAGTGAGTGAATGAAATGAATTCTTTTTTGTTTGTTTTGTTTTGTTTGGAGGGTAATTACGTTTTGTTTTGTTTAATTTAACTGACATATTGGAGAGCGAACCCATGACCTCATGCGTGCTAGGCATGAGCTCTACCATTGAGCTACACCCTCCCCACTGAAGTGAATTCTTAATAGTTAATACTGATTACCTTGTGATTATGATGTCTGCCTCCATCAAAGTAGTGATGCTTACTTTGACGTATTACAATACGTGTCGTATGATCTGTGTAAAATCCAAGTATGTGAGCTCATCAGTCTTTCATGGCCACATCCTGACATCATGCTGATTAAACTCCTTAGAAATAGAACACTGTAATATATTTCATTACATTTAGCATTATTTTGTACTGTTTTCAGCTTGACTAAGCATGATTTGAATGATTATCATACTGTGTGCTAACTATTGTGCAGAATTTAATTTCAAGTTCTTGGTTACTTACTGCACTTCGCAAGAAATGTAATTCTTTCATGAAACTCTTACAGCTTTAAGAATATAAAACATCAGGTGCTTCGTTTCCCTTCTTCAGTCTACCATCCTTATGAATATTGTTTTCATTTGGCTTCTTTTATAAGGGAGAAGACGTCAACCGGACACTAGAAGGTGGAAGGAAGCCTCTTCATTATGCAGCAGATTGTGGGCAGCTTGAAATCCTGGAATTTCTGCTGCTGAAAGGAGCAGATATTAATGTATGTAAAGAACATTGTCATTTTAGAAAAAAAATTGTTGTATGCTTTAGGTAATTATTTTCTGTAGATTTGTAAGTTAACTTGCAGAAGCTTCATTTGAAGTAAGAATATAGTCTGAAGTTATACCAAATTCCTCTAACTTAAAAATATATAGTTGGGACTCTTTCTTAAATAAGCAGAACAAATTGATTTTTTTTTTAACTGATAAAACTGGGAATTAGGGTGTTTCCCTTTCAGGTTCCAAAGCACTTGAGAGTTAGCACTGTCTATAGGTGGCAAATGGCTGTCACTCAGTGGAGCATAGGACTGTGCAGTCATGTAAGAACTGGACTTGTGGACAAAGGTCAGACAGGAGCAATCGTCTCTGGACTCTTGCCTTTTGTAGCTTCTGCATTTCAGAGTCTTTGAAAAATGTTTAAGTAACCATGACATCAAGTGAGATGAACTTTTCACGTTTCAAGGAACACCATGTCACACGGTCCAACTGTGGCTGTCTTTTACCTCTTCATTGGCTATGTTCCTCCCCTTTTCCTGGACCTCATTTGCATTTCTGCAGTATTGAGGAGTTGAGGCTCAGAGAGGTTAAACAGCTGGCTGCACAGTAAGTGGCAGAGCCCAGATATCAGCTGGGGTCAAAGCCCTGCTCCCTCTATTTCACTCTTAATTCCCAAGGAGAAGCTGCTGTGGGTTGGGCCTTTGGCAGCTCTCTAAGAGGCTAAAAACATGTAGCTATGAAACAGTTTTGTATTGAAAGGCAAATGGGTAAAGGTGGATTTTTGAAATAGTTACAGATGTTCCCTAATTAGATCTAGAAGGAAGAAATGAAAAATGGATAAGATGATTTACATCTCTGTTATTTCGTAGGCTCCAGATAAACATCATATTACCCCTCTTCTGTCTGCCGTCTATGAAGGTCATGTTTCCTGTGTGAAATTGCTTCTGTCAAAGGTGAGGTCAATTGCTGGATTTTATTGCTTTTCCATTACTGTGTAACTGTTTAAGCTGAGTATTTGGTAATTTACTTAAATTTTGTGTGGCATCAGGAACAGAAGATTAGAGATAATGTCCAGAATTGAAATCTAGAGCAGTGTTGCTCAGAATAGCTGGCCCACAAGCTGCTTGTTACCAGTTCATGGTAGGTAAGGAGCTTGGGCTACAATATAAGTTAACACAGTCTCCTTCACCAAGAGTATCTTGCTATTTAAAAAAAAAAATGTTAGCTGAACTAAGCACTGTACTTAATAATATAGAAAATGTTGCCCTGGGCCAGTACCAGGTTCACATAACGCTCTTTGAATAACCCTGGTTTGAAATTTGTAGATTTCATTTTCAGTAGTATGCACTGAGCAAGATTATTAGAGGCAGATTGCTTGCTATAAGTAAGGACTCTCGAAGTCATCTGGTTTCTTGATTGAGATTGTGATAAATTTGGAGTTCCCTCATGTTTTGTCTTTGCTATTACAAGCTTTCAGATGAAGTTCAAAATCCAGCCTCACGAATTAACCAATCAGTTGTGATCATTCTAGCTGCATTGGATGGGACCTGCAAATGGTGGAAGACAAGAAATGTTCATACGATAAGCTTGGGATTGATATTGGTGCCTTAAGATTTCATGGCCGTACTCTGGAAAAGTGCTGTTCATAACATTTCACTTGGAATTTTAAAAATAAGCCTTGCTAAAAGAGGCAGGGAAAAAATAGAAATTAAATGAGTGAATGTATATAAAGCATTTTTCTACAGTACCTGACACATAATAAGTGCTTATTTAAAATAGTAGCTTTAAGACTATGACTAAGAGGATTTCATGCTTCATTAAGATTTGAAGAACATTGGGAAAGAAAGTGGCACATTTGTCCCAACTCTTTATTGACAACTCTTTAAAGTTGTCTTTTTCTGAAAATGGTTAATTCAGGTTTTCTAACATTTTTTTTAAAGATAATTGTTCTGAAAGCAATTAATTTAGGTCCTCAAAAACTAGGGTTTTATACCCATACCTTCATGGTAAACAAAACACAAATACTGAATGATTCCTTCCTTCGCCTTCTTTCTCCCTCTCTGCCTGACCTTTTCTACCCAGCCAAGGATTTTGTTCTCTGAAAATAAAAATCCCCGTGGGATCCTTTATAGCTTAGGGCGCTAGTCATTTACTAAATGAGATGCCCCTAAGCCAACTCTTTCTTCCCAGTCAGATCTCAAACTATAGATCAGAATGGTATTTCTTTTTCATAGGCCTGTCTTTCCTCCTAGGACAAGTAAAACAAGATGTAATTATTATTATAGAAGAATGGTTTGGACTCTCTCTAGCATATTTCTTATTCTCAAAACATGATGCTCCAAGTCATTGAGATCTTCTGGTTGTAAGATTCCATTGTTAAAGAATCTTCCACATTAAAATAGTTCCTGAAAAGCTGGCTTGACTTGAATGTACATTAAGCCTTAATATATTGTCCCAGAAGAGTCTTTATAAATATGTACTATGTTGCTAAACTGTTGGCTGTGAATTATCTGATTTATAACTAGTTTATTTTTTATTTTACTTGTGCCCTAAATATTGTTTTTTCATTTGTGTCTAAGCCTTAATTTTTGTAGCTAAATAAGTGATACTCAGAGATGGCTGTTTTGATGGCAGATCAGTTGTAACCACATAGAGCTGTTATTTTAGGTGAAAGATTTTTTTACCGTTTTGAAAGCAATATAATAAAAGTTAGTTTTGCTTTCTCAAAATTAATTACTTTTATTTTATTTTTGCATAAGTTTCTTTAATGGATACCCTGTAGTTGTGTTAGCCAAATTTTGGGGGGAGGGAGGGAACTGTGCTTTTTCAAAAATCTTTAATTGCTACAATTAAGGCTATTCCAGTGCATTTTTTTTAAAGTTGTAATCAGTGCTTATATTATGAAATCTGGTTTGTTCTGCCTTTTATCAAAAGTAGAACCCTTTTGGATTATTATGAATTCATTTTAAAAGTACATCGTTTAGAAGTTTTTCAGATTCACTGATATTGCTCACATACAGCTGACCCTTGAACAACAAAATTTGTACTAAACCAGTTCACTTACATGCAGATTTTTTTCAGTAGTAAATGCTGTAGTACCACACAATGCACAGTTGGTTGAATCCGGATGTGGAGGAACTGCAGATATGAAAGGCCGACTATAAGTTATAGATGGATTTTCAACTGCACTGAGGGTCAGCCCCCTTAGCCCCTGCCTGGTTCAGGGGCAAACTGTATTATTCCATTGGTGTATCATTAGCATAGGAAGAAAGCCAAAATAATAAATTTTAAAACTCAATATGATCACAACCAATAGCGAAAACAAATTATAAAAACAAAAGAATTGCTAGAATGTATAAAATCAAACTCTATGTGCTACACAATATCACTTACTGGACAAGTATTTTTATTTTAATGCAATGGAAAATGAAGTTTATGACACAAGTAGAAATTCAAAACATCTATTGTTCATATAGCAAAAGAGGAAACTAACATATATGGAAAATCTAAATGTGCTAAATAGTTTTTATATAATCTCCAAATACATAAGTATAATCATCTCCATTTTATGGATGAAGTAACTATCTGTCTCAGGGAGGTTAAATAACTACATGAAGTCAAACAGAATATAATAAAATCAAAATTTGCTCCAAGATATACGACTCAAATGCCCATGTTCTTTCTACTCCTCAAGAGTGCCTTTCAGACTTACTGTCAGGGACAGTTATGAGAAATGATTATGTATGTTCTTTCAGGTAAAAGCTATTTGGCCTGATTTTTAATTAATGCACTCAAATGACAGGAAAGATGTTTTTAAAAAGAATGAGTCGGGGGAGGGTATAGCTCAGTGGTATTGCTCATGCTTAGCATGCACAGGGTCCTGGGTTCAATCCTTATAAGTTTCCTTCATTAAATAAATAAACGTAACCCCCCCAAAAAAATGAAATAAAAATAAAATTATGCTCTTAAAAAATAATACCTTTAAAAAATAAATGAAATGAGTGAATCGATATCTGCTTTAGACCATAAGAAGGGGTTCATTAGACAAGACATCATGATGAATCCTTGAGAAACGGAAAGCAGGTGGGGTCATGTTGAAAAAGAAAACACTTGCAAGCATGAGCAAGAGAGTACTGTTGAAAAAGGTAGGAGCTGATCCAAGGCAGCTTGAAGCCCAGAAGTGGTCAGTACCCTTCAGCAACAAACAAGTGAGTTGGAAGTGCTTTCAGGAAGAAACAAATTAAACCCAAAGGGAAAAACTGAGATGCAAGGAGTGCAAGCAAGAAATTAGTAGGTGAATAAATCTAAACAAATATTGAAATATCAAAACGAACATTTAAAAAAATAAGCTGAAGTTATAGAACTGTTAAATAATAACTTGTAAGATGCAAGGGGAATGAACAAAAGCTCCTGGTACTTTCACCAAATCCAGAGTACATGAGAAACAGTAGTAAAGCTGATGAAAGGAGACAGGGGAAGCAGGTAAAAATGCAGGCTCAGGAAGTTCCGTGGGCTAGTAGCAGTCCTGAGGAGTCAGAAGCCCAAGTGAGAGTGTGAAACAGGAGGAGTGGTAGCTGCACAGCAGTCAGTAAAAAAGCCCAGCCTTACAGACTGCTGTCTGATTTTATGAAAGCAGAAACAGACCAGGTAAGCACCTGTCATTTTGAATTGTAATTATACTCCAGCTGGATAAGGTTCCCTTTTATTGCCCTAAAAATTAAAAATATTACTAAACTAATCTTCCTGGTTAAAATCTCAAATGCCTGAATAATAGCAGTGTTGTGAGAACACATTATTTAGGAGAGAGTTATCGTGAAGTGGTACTCTTGAACTATAATATTACTGGCTGATGGATGTTCATAAGTCCAAAATTCATTTATTTTTCACAGTTACATATAATTGGACATCTTCATCTAGTTTCTGTGTGGTTAAGGAAACAATTATCTATAAGAAATAATAGTTTGCCTGTGGCATTAATACACTATCATGCTAGACATTTCCTATAATATTAACATTATATAGTATTTAATAAGTATTATAGAAAATTTGATACATATTAAAATTCCTTATAATTTATGTAATCCCTTTGATAATAAAGGATTTTAAGAAGTCATGTATCCTTGTTCTCTCATCCTAAGGAAAACCATTTCTAAATAATCCACTATAAAATATTATGGGGAAAGAGGGAATACTTGTAATATTTGTATTAACTTTTAAAGATGTTAAGTTTGCTCTCATTTAGAATTTAGACATAAAGGTTCAGTCATTTACTCTAGTGTGTGTTGGTACTCTGTCCTTTATATATTATATACTTCTATTAAAAAATGACCAACCTCCTGTTAGGACAAGAATTCTATTTAACTAATAAATAGAAAAAAGTACCCCAACATGAGAGAATCACAAATCTCTTGAAATGAAAATCTAATGAAAGTTTTAAAAGCTTTATAGTTACTGTTTTATTCTTAGATTACAGAAACCAACTGACAACATACTCGTTAGTTTAACCTCATTTGTTATTAGTGATATTTAGTGTGCTAAGCTATATCTGAGAGAGGAAAGTCCAGAAGAAACTTTGCTTTCTTGTTTTTCATTCTGTTTCCCTCTGCGTCAGATTTACCTCCTTAGGACGTCTGCTGTAACCTTACAACAGAAATGTGTAATCGCTGATAATTGTGCAGCTCTGATGATAGTGACGCACAGCTGTTTCAGACTACTCCAAGTTCATTGTATAGGATAAATGAGTGAGAAACAGAACAGAGGTTTACTCAGCACTCTTCCTTTCATAAAAAGGAAGTCAAAATGATTAATGTCTTATGTACAGTTGCTATAGAGAGTAAAAAGTACTAAAAGTCAATTTGCTAAGAAAATACGGAAAACCATCTTATTGATAACATTGATGGTTTTGCTCAGTGTATTTTCTGTGCTATATTCTTAAAAATCAAGCAGCCAGTTA